GTTCACTCGGCTAAAAAATTCAATTTTGGCGAAAGTCGACTTTCCCTCTGGAAAAACAGAAAATCTGACTCTATGGCTCGGGGTGAAAAAAAAAATTTTATTTCGACTTTTGTCGCGCCTTCGGGGGTTTCATTGGCATCAGAATTGTTAGAAAATACAAAATCAACTTTCACTTGGCGAAAAAATTCAATTTTGGCAAAAATCGACTTTCACCCTTGATCCACGTGAAAATCAAAATTTTTTTTCCCCTTTTCTGTCACCTCCGAGGGTTCATTGGCATCAGGGGGTCAATAAATACAGAATCGACGTTCACTATTTTTTATTTAAACCCCGCCTGCAAACGGGGAGATGAGGTTGGCTAAAATATATTCTGCAACCCTGTCTCCTCGTTGGCTACAAATTTCAACCCTCCGCATACATGCCTTCCCCTTCACCCGCTCGTAAAATCCCGCGGTCTCGGTAGCATAGAGGAGGACTTCTCAGGACCGAAAATAACTGAGGATTCGAAAGGTCTCTGGAAAAGTACGTAGCAGAACTGATTAGGACTTACCAGGTCCATCTAGGTCTGGAGAGATCTTGAAAGACCTGCGTACGTCCAATCAGAACCAAATCCTCGACTCGGGAATATCTTGAGTGTCCAACCCATGCAACATCTCGATCAAAGTTCACACGGTCACGTTTTTTCCCTAAGCATAATGTTACAAGAAGTAACAGTATGCTTAGGCAGAGGGAAGTGATTTTCAGAAATTAATTTCTCACTAGAATGCCGCGATGGAAGGACTAAGATTATTACTAACGTGCGGCTCAAATATGAACCTGACATATGAGGCAATATCAAAATTATGGTGAATAATGCGAGTTTTGGGCTAAACATCCTTAACACGGGATCTTAGCGGAATTTAAAAAAAAATAAAAATCGACAAAAGCCGTAATTTTCCTGAAACTTCGCATTTGAGTGGAGTTTTCATTGAAAAGCATGAAAAAATAATCCCAGTGGCCTAGGAGAGTTGTTTGCCCACCCCGCCATAAAAACCTTAATACTCCCGACAGAAGTATTCTCTCAACAAAAAATTCTGAAAAATAAAGAACATAATTTCTTAAGATTCATCCGTTTATATCCTATCGCTGTGATTTACGTGAATCGTTTTGGCCCAGCGCCTTCTCCAGGCTAACTCGATAATCCCGCGTCTGATCGAGAGGACTACGAATATATATTTCCAATTCAATTTTGCCATGCCCCCCCGATCACCCATACATTTTCCCCCGAATCATATTCAATAGGGATAAAATATCCAGCTCTCGATGATCCTCGTCTCCTTAGAATCGCTTTAAAAAATTAATGTAACACATTATTATCTAAAACCAGAAAATAGTTCATTGGATTTTCACGGTGTCGAGAGAGGCCGCGCCTTTTAAGCGAGACCAGGCATCGGGAGAGGAACGTTGACGGGATGTAAGTGCCTTTGCGCCTCTCGGCTTCTGCCGTAAACGGTTTTCCTCACCGAAGATGACATTCAAATTGGGTTATGCAAAATTGATTTTACATGGAATAAGTCTTGCTCGTTGCTGTCTAGTAGACATATCGATTGTTGGTGGAGATGAAAATAACAGTACAGGTATAAAAAAAATATTCTTGAATGCAGATCAACACTTTTTTCAAATATTTTTATAACAATAGCATTGAAGCAATGATAAAATAATGCGAAATATTCGGATATTCAGGGCACTGGAAAAATCTGTTTTTCAAATTAAAACGTTGAAATTTATTTCAAGACATTCGAAATTTCTGTCATCACGAGGTTAGCCGATGAAGAAAATTAAATTGAGACGTCCTGAAGGCACTTTTACAACATAAATGTGAATTATCAACTTCCGACTCGCAAAAGAGAATTGAATACCATTCTCTGAAACATGAATAAACGAATCATAATTGGCCAAATCATTTAGGTCAGAGGAAAATAGAATAATTCTTCTTTCTTAATATTGCGTTTTGTAAGGTTTTCTTCGAACAAAGTTGATTAGAATTAATAGCTAGAATTATGAGATTATCTCACATTTTTTACGTTAAGGATAGGAGAATCTGAATGCAATATAGTGAAAATGATGACCGATTTTTTCACTTTGAACAAATAACATTAATATCCAAATACAAAATTTCTGATATGAATAAAAAGAAGCTGTGACTCAATATTCGAAATGAAGTTTTAATTTTTAATTTGGTGCTGATAACACGAGATGACAATATTCTAAGCACGGAATTATGTTGATGAGATGAACAACAGATTAATTGAATTACCGTGTGAACTAACTAAAAATTGATAACAGTGTGGGCACGCACTTTTACCAGAGTATCAACAAACATTGAATTCCAGAAATTCACACTCTANAATTGGATTGTATTATGATTAAAATCTTATTCAGTGAGCATAGGAATGAGAACACGAGCAAATGATTTATTGTAATATGAAAATTTAACAGCTGCTAAATTGGGACATATGATTCTCATCGGTCGTATTGCTTTCTGCAGTGAGAATGATTATAAACAATTAATTAAAAAGGAATCAACACGGCCCTAGTGAAATAATAGATTATATTACAATATTCCCAAACAATCATTGAAAACGCGAAATGAAAAAAAATACCTCCCGCGTAAAAGAAGTATTGAGGTTAATTAACGTTTACTCTCCAAGCCTCATCTCAATTGAATTATATTACAGCACCCAGGAGAATAATAGCGTTACAACGACCTTGTTTTCGCCCGGCATTGCCGCTGGAACCGTGTAATTAGGGGAAAAGAGAGGGTGCGAGGGGATCGTTTAAGGGTGAAAGAGAGGTGAATAGCAATTTGTTGAATCAACGAAAAATTTCCCTCGGCCCCAAATCGCCGTCCCTGCGGAGCCCACCGCCCGAATAACATGATACCGTGCCAGAACTCGATGTTACGGTACTGCATAAATCACGAATTGGTTTTAACGAACAAATGGCGATCTAGGACGATGTGGGGGAGGTGTTTGATTCCATTCTCGTTATAAATAATTATTACCGATGAACATGGGACTGGGATTCGTCCGTTGATCGTGTCATTTACTGCCACTTTGATGTGCAGTTGGGGAAATAATTAGAACGGTGGCTCTTTTTTTTGTAATTGTTGACCGACAATACGGTTCAGCATTATTTAAAATGATCTAGACGGTTGTGCACGGGAATTATGAGATAGATAAATAAATACCATCTTGATGCGGCGTTTTAATTAGTCGATAAGACACATATTTGTGCCTAATGCCTTAATTTGAGACGTCTTGAGGACGCTATTGCTTCCGAATGGAAGCTTTGTAACCTTCCAAAGGTTTTCTCCAATTGTTCGCTAATGAACGCATGGAATTGAATCGTTCGTAAAATTTAATTCATCCATGAGTTTTTTCAATCTTCGAATTTTTTTGAAAATCTGGCAAAATTAGTTGAAAAGAAATATTATTCAATTTAATAAAATGAAATAAACAATGAATTACACATGATAGCAGGAAATTATGTACAAAATAACCATTAGGAAGGATATTGCTAATTACAATTATTAAATACAAGGGCGATTTCCCAATTGTTTTACAGTATAGCAAAACAATTCAATTATCGATAATTAAACATGAATGTTCATTACTCCACTGGAAAAATTTTTCCGTTCGATAATTTAATTCCACGATTACCTGAATTTTTCAGTATTTTTTTTTCAAACTCTTCTCTCCGCATAGGGTAATTATTCTCGAGTACAACGACAGTTGTTCCCCGAGTTTCTCCTCCATCCCCATGTGCAATATGCCCTCGTTACGCCCAGTCCCAATGGCCTTGTGCAATAGACCAAGAAAGAAGAACAACAGAGAAAGAGAGAAAGCAATACGAGAGTTTGTGCTAGCAAAGGCCTCCGGTAAGACCAACGCCTCCAACTGTCGTACGGAATAACGCCCACTTCCCACCTATATATTTATTCAGTGATGTCTCACGTGACTCTGGAGTACGTTCTGGGTGCTCACGGAGCTTTAATAAACCAACTCCCTTACGTTTTTACGTGTCGTAAATCTCACGCCCAGAAGTAGGTGCATCATTTCATTTTCGTGAAACGAGAAAACACGAGTTCCCTCTCAAGACGGGAAAATCCATCGGGGTTTTTCTTCATTGCATCATGGCTTTTTCATTTTTATTGAAAAATCTTGCACCACCTGTCGGTCGGGTGAGGGAAATCTCGGGTGATTTATCTTGTATTTACATGGATTCAGACGGATTTCGGTGTTGTTAGGTGTACTTTTGGGGGAAGAAGAGATTTGTGATACACCGTTGAAATTTTTGGCGCAAATTTTCCGTACACTGCTTGGAAATTTTGATTACATTATAGTTCAACTGAAACTTCAAGGATTTTGAGAAATTCAATGAAAACTTTATATCTAGATTGAATTATCCCTTGGAAATTAATAGGCATCAGCGAAATTTGGGTGAATTTATTCTTGATTCTTGATTTTTTTAAATAAAATGACAGTTCCGCGTGGTTTGGTACTTTGGGTATTTTTTCTCCAGTGAAATGCTTTTCTACTTTTGCAGTCGAAAATCGGAACTGAAATATAAAAATCGAGAATTAAAATCCAATTAATAACTTTCGGGAATTGGGGAATTGGAGAAAAATTTTCTCTCTGAAAAACATTCAATTTTATATAACTACTCCCTTAATTTGGTATGATCAGCTCCTGAAAAAGCGAAAAGTTCAATTTTCCCGACACAATTGATCCACTAATTCCCCCCGCGATCACTCGCTGAGACACTCCAATCAATTTTCCCCATCTTCCCTAGAAAACTAGTAATTGACACAGGTGCAGCCGAGTATGACGAATCGGTGGGCTTTACCACTCCGTCCAAAATTTATCGCTCTTCTGATGGATTGACGATTGTTAACATGACACAATTGATGGATCAGCGAAGAAATCACCCCTGATTGTGATTTTTTTTATTTTTCGCAGGATACAATACTCCACTGGTAGAGGTAGAGCCCAAGGAGAAGGCAGTCGTGAAAGTTGGCGATCCACTGAAGGTGAAGTGCAGAATCGGGATGCCTCTGGCGGGATGCAGGGTGGAGATACCTGGCCTACCGCCCATTGTGCTGAAGCCAAATCAACCGTCGGACGACGGCATCAGCTACTATGGAGCAGGACTCCAGAGTGGAGAGTGTGGTGTCACCATTGACCATGTCAAGGATAGTTATCATGGGGACTTCAAATGTGCACTTCATCCTGCGGAAAGTAGGAGTGAGACCATTGGAACACTCAAGATCATCGTTGCCAGTAAGTATTTTATTGACATTCTCCGGATTTTTATGCACCAATTTCGTGAAAAATAAAAATCATACTGATTGCGAGAGAAAATAAAATGTAATGTCACAAAAATAATTTCTTGAGCCGAATATATTATCGTTTGGAACAAGAATTCTGTGAGGTATTGATGACTTGAACATATTTTTCTTCAATCGATGATCTCTTGAAAACTAGTGGATGTAGGAGAAAATGACAAAAGACTTTTTTGTAGGAAATTTTTTCAGCATTAAAAAGTTTCTTCTGACATTTTGCTCTAAACCCCATTAATTAAGAGATAATTACAGTTTTAATACACATGTTGCCGATGTGAAACGTGAAATTTTATATTCTTGTTTGTGATCCGTCAAAAATCATTTTTAAATAAAAGTATCTATTACATTATTCCCCAAATTCAGAGGAATACGACGTAATATCACAAAAATAATTTCTTGAGCCGAATCTATGATCTCTTGAGACCACATCGCTTGGAATAAAAATTCCGTGCAGTTTTGATGACTTGAACATATTTTTCTGAAATCGATGATCTCTTTAAAACTAGTGAATTTCGGAGAAAATGACAAAAGACTTTTTTGTAGGAAATTTTTTCAGCATTAAAAAGTTTCTTTTGACATTTTGCTCTAAACTCCATTAATTAAGAGATAATTACAGTTTTAATACACATGTTGCCGATGTGAAACGTGAAATTTTATATTCTTGTTTGTGATCCGTCAAAAATCATTTTTAAATAACAGTATCTATTACATTATTCCCCAAATTCAGAGAAATACGACGTAATATAACAAAAATAATTTCTTGAGCCGAATCTATGATCTCTTGAGACCACATCGCTTGGAATAAAAATTCCGTGAAGTGTTGATGACTTGGACATATTTTTCTTTAATCAATGATCTCTTGAAAACTAGTGGATTTCGGAGAAAATGACAAAAGACTTTTTTGTAGGAAATTTTTTCGGAATTAAAAAGTTTCTTCTGACATTTTGCTCTAAATCCCATTAATTAAAAGATAATTACAGTTTTAATACACATGTTGCCGATCTGAAACGTGAAATTTTATATTCTTGTTTGTGATCCGCCAAAAAGCATTTTTAAACAAAAGTATTACATTATCCCCCAAATTCACTAATTATTATTCAGAGAAAAATGACGCAATATCACAAAAAACTAAGTTCTTGAGTCAAATTTAATCTCTTTTTTTGTCGTTTTATCAATATTATCTCTGTCGTGAAATGGTGAACTAGGATAAGTGCAATTTTTGTCGAAAAAAAAATTTCTGGCCAAATCGCTTGCACAAATTGTTGAGAAACGATTTAAAAAAAAATCATCTTCTGCAATAAATTATTTTTGCGACATACGATCGTTTTTTCTCTGTCCGCAATCACGTGAAATTTTTTCTCAGAAAGTAAACCCATTTTAGAAAAAATTCCCTTAAAGAATAAGTTTACTTAACTAATTAATTAATTCCCTCGCACAGATTCCTCATTGACAATTCACGCACAAGAAGTTTATCATCATTCAAAGTAACAATACATTTCCAAACTCCCCGAGAAACCCCAAACCCTCGTATTATTTTAATGAATGCATAAATGTTCGAATGAACTTTGCAGAGCCACCGCCAAACAGGCCGGAGCTCATCCTGAGTCAGGCACCAGGCGAGAGATACAAGAAGGGAGACAGAATTGAAATGAGCTGCAGCGCCCTGGCTGGACGACCCAGTGCCACCGTCAGCCTCTTCCTCGGTAAGTTCCACACTTCAGTCAAGCAGTCACACCGAAAGTTTAATTTCAAGACGTCAAGCGTCTAATTCAATCCGATTTCCTTCCAGACAATGAGACACTCTCACGAGACAATTCACGTTTCGGTTACAACACAAATGAGGACTCGATGTCCGTGGTTAATGCAACTCGCATCCTTGATTGGAGTGATAATGGAAAATACGTTCGGTGTGTGGCTGACCACATTGCCTTGGATAAACCTATGGAAGTTCACAGGCAACTGCAAGTTTTGTGTAAGTAGATCAATTGAATATATTCTTCGTGATTGACCGTCTGATCGAAAACTATTGCAATATTTTATTTTAGTGTTTACAATGATTCAGTTATTAATTGATCAATTAATATTAGATTTTTATTTTAATCATCAACTATTTTATCAATACATAAATTTTTTTGGCTGAAATGTCTGGTGAAACTTAAGGGAATTCCATCATTAAAAAATCAAAAGTCAATGGAAACAGAGAATTTTAACTCAATTATTTCTCGAAAATTGACAGAATTTAGCAAAACTCAGTTAAATAAAATCTGAATTTTCCATTTTTTGAAAATTCAAGTGATTTAACATTAGATATTGATTTTACATCATGAAAATATCTTATCAATACACCGCTAACGATTTTTGGATGAAATTTGAAGGAATTTTGTTACTCAAAAATCAATATTTCATGCCAAAATCAATGGAAACTAAACTTTATTTCAATTATTCCTCGAAAATTGATAGAAATCAGGCCAATTCAAGTGAATTTGGAAAATCTCATCTTCCTACTGTCAACAAAATTTAGAATTCCATCGAATTTTCAGGGAAATCCTTAATTCCATGATTTTTTCCCCTATAAATCTCCTTTTATTTTTATCTCACAGTGTATAAGAAGAAATATAACAAAGTTATAATCACAAATTATACAAAATTCCCGAAAAGTCTTTTCCTGATGAAAATTAAAATTATCGTCACTATTTTTTCAACAATTTCAGTCCCACCCCAGGAGCAGCCAACAATCGAACGTTTCGGCTACGTAATCGGCCGCCCAGGGATCATAAACGCAACAGTTTACGCAAATCCAAAGCCCAATTTCGTCTGGAAAGTGGGTGATGAAGAAATAACCGAAGGAAGAACTGATCAAAGTCAACGTCTGCAGACCACAACAGCAAGGGAAACGGTAAATGCATGCAGCGGGCTAATTCGCGATTCCCGAAGGAAATTACGTATTCCTGGGGGCAATTTAATAGAGAAATTTATCTCTTACGGTATTCGGTAACAGTTGTAGAAGGGAAACAAACGCAAAATGCAATAATTCCTTGGCTCTGGAGTGCATCCAGCTTGGAGTCCTCAATTTAGGGGGACTTTGTGCTGGGGCACAAGTGAATCGTTGTAATTTGAGTTTTGTTGGAAGTCCTTTGACTGGGGAAAAGGCCGAATTTAAACTGGAGTGGAGTCTTTGGTGCATTCAATTCAATGTCGTTTTAGTTTTGTACATCTGGAGATTTGGAAGGTTGAAGTGAGGGTGGATAATGAAATTTTCACTTTTGCCAAGTACAGAGAGAAAAACAATGATGAATAGTATTGAGTATTCATTAATTTCTTCGTGCTTGTTAGAAACACTTTTTGTTAAAAACGTTTTTCGACCGAACTTTTAAAAGTGCCATTATGTCTTAATCAATGGGGTTTAGAGCAAAATGTCAAAAAGGAAATTTTAAAGATAAGGAAATTTCCCAAAAAAAAGTTCTTTGACATTTTCTCTTAAAGCCACTAGTTTGGGCTTCCGAATGGCGCAAATTTAAGTTTTTGTGTTATGTATCTTTTTTTCTTCATTTTTTATAGAGTTTAGTAAGCTCTATTCATTGACACCAATTCAAATTCAGTTTTTCATATGGATTCGAAGAAATGGATATTTTTCCAAAATTGATTTTTCAACGATCACTCAAAAAATTGTCATTAAAATGGAATTAGTTATGACTCAAAAATTGATAACAATACCCTCTTGATTATATCAGAATACGATGGGGGTCGCACAATTCGTTGTTGAGTTACAGCACATTGTTTATGCGATTTGAAAGAGAAAATCGGTTTTTTCATGATTCCTGAAAGAATCATCAGTAATAGCAATTAAATCAGGGCTTGAACAATATATTCCAATGCCTTCTTAATCAAGTTGAAAAATAATGAGAACAGCATCATTGCTTATCAAGTTACACAATACCGTCATGAGCTTTTTATATCAAAATCTCTATCTCTGTTAAACTCAGGTACTAGTCTATTATGTTGAATACTTATTCATATTGATTCATGGTCCCGACTAACTTCAAACCCGGACTGAAAACGAATTCGAGCCTTGAGAGGGTCTCAATGTAGAATTATTTGACAGAACGAAATAATACGCAGAATTTTGATGACATTCAAACTGATGATAGTACTATGACATGAAAAAAGAGAAGAAGAGAATAGTGAAAGAAGAATTTACAAAAAGAGAACCCACTCGAAACAATAACTGTACCCATTTTATTTTTAAAAAATGCCATTATTCACTTGCTAAGATATAATCAAGTGAAAAAAAAATTTTTAATTCCATATTTGACATTTCATTGATCAATTGTTTTTATATATTTGCAGAAACCAGGACAGTGGTATGTGGAGTTGAAAATCGACAGTGTCCAAAAGACCGACACCGAGAAATTTTACGTTCTGGAAGCACGAAATCCCGAAGGCACAACAAAATACCACTTCCGACTCTCCACATCGCCTGAACCCGAAGGTAATTTATCCACTTTTTTTGTACAAATTCATCAGAAATCTGTGTGAAGTGCTTTGTAAAATTACCATAAAAACACGTACACTAGCGAATATTTTTCATTCACAAACTACTCCATCACCATCAACACGCTATATCAGCATTAACTCAGTGATCACGTGACGTCACGAATTTTCATTTTTGTTAAATTGTCTAACGGCTAAATATCTTCACCGCATGCTCTCACGCAGGAGCGCTCGTACACCTCTATGGTAAGCTCTCCGACATTTCGCACGCACTAGGTAAATGTTCTTTTTTTAATATTTCAAATCAGAGAAATAGTAGAATGGAATAAAAGATTAATTGTGCGTAAAACCAAATGTTCCCTACACTGTTTGAAAATTTTCGGCTGAAATTACAGGTGCACTTCTTTGAAATCATTATCAGATTACCAATTCGGCGAATTTCTTTATTGAAAATTGAAAATTTTATGGAAAAATCAGTGAAAGAGAAGTTTTTATTCCCTTATTCTATGGAAATTAATTTAAATGAGAGAAATTCAAGTAAATTGCAGAATTCTTGAAGAAAAAAAATTGTAATTCCATTGAATTTTCCGTGAATTTGGAAGTTTTTTAGAGCTTGTTCATGATATATCAATTTTATTCTAACAGTGTAGGACCCACGACCTTTTGGTTCTAAGCACGTGATATGGGATTGAGTGCACAGTGTATGACATTCACAATATGCAAAATCTCATTTAAATATTCGTCATTCCATAATTCAAGTTCTGCAATCCCCCAATGATATCAGAGGGGAATTATTCCAAAATTCAGTGGCTCAGGGGTAAAATCCTGGTATTATTACTGTGCCCTCATACCCATAATCGGATACTGCGGACAGAATCCCTGAAAAGATGAAAAGGGAAAATGGAGAATAAACTCATTAAAAAGTTACTTGTCATTCAGAAAACTCGATGAGAATCTGCATCTCAGTTTTAACAGAAAAAAAAAGTTGATACGATGAAATTATTCAGATGAAAAAGTTTCAATGGCTTTAGTGAATTCATCGCTTATATGGTAGATATTATTGGTATTAACATTTATGGGAATTTTAATCGCCTTCGGTTGTGATAAAATTGCAGTGGAAGTGGACAAATCCAAATGGATTTTATCTGTTTTTTTTTATTTATAAATCTGTTGAGATGAAATTAAAAATTTTATATTTTTGTTAATTGGCTGTATCATACAAGCGCTTTATTCTAGGGGGAATAGTCATAACAATTTTTTTGTAGAGCAGAGAATTTTCTACAAAAAATGTTATTTGAGATTTTTCCCTAAAATCATTCATTTTCGATGTAAAAAAGAAATTAAAATAGAAAATGTGGATTTTGATTATGAGGTTGTTCCACTTCAGATTTCATTTCATAATAATATTTTCATTTCATGAAATACAAGCACGAAAATATTTCATCGAAAAACTTAGCAAATCCGTTAGAAAATTCTTTCAGTTTTTCAGCGCGATTTCTTCAAGAGAAATGTTTACTGAATGAAAATTTAGGAGAGAAATCAATAGAATTTGATTTTTCTGTACACTATATTTTATTGGAATGTTCTCTATCCAAAAAGAATGAAGTGAAAACAATTTAGAAAATAGTGTTTTTATCGAACACTTTCCTTTCCAAAAAAATCAATATCTCAAATCGAAAATGAGAACTCGAACGAATGGAGAAAATAAGGCGGTTTTCATGAGTACAATCGTCTTGCGTCTCATGTTCATGAAGCCCCCCTAACAAACAAAAGAGAATTGAATATCATTCTATGAAACATGAATAAACGAATCATAATTGTCCAAATCATTTAGGTCAGAGGAAAATAGAATAATTCTAGTTTCTTAATATTGCGTTTACTAAGGTTTTCTTCGAACAAAGTCGATTAGAATTAATAGCTAGAATTATGAGATTATCTCACATTTTTGACGTTAAGGATAGGAGAATCTGAATGCAATAAAGTGAAAATGATGATCGATTTTTTCACTTTGAACAAATAATATTATTATCCAAATACAAAATTTCTGATGTGAATAAAAAGAAGCTGTGACTCAATATTCCAAATCAAGTTTTAATTTTTAATTTGGTGCTGAAAACACGAGATGACAATATTCTAAGCACGGAATTATATTGATGAGATGAACAACAGATTAATTGAATTAGCGTGTAAACTAACTAAAAATTGATAACCGTGTGGGCACGCACTTTTACCAGAGTATCAACAAATATTGAATTCCAGAAGTTCACACTCTAAAGTGTGTTCTAGAAGGAATTGAATTGTAATCAGTCAGCATAGGAATTAGGACATGAACAAATCATTTATTGTAGTATGAAAATTTAACAGCTGATAAATTGGGACTTATGATTCTCATCGGTCGTGTTGCTTTTTGTCTGTATAATCATCTCGAAGATTCATATCCATCACAAAATTCCATTCGATGTTTATTCATCCACATTAATATTTCCCTCAAATATCTGACGTATCATTATTTCCCCCAGGTTTTGATCTCGACGCGGGCTTCATAATTGGAATCGTCGTCGGAATTTTGGTGCTCCTCCTTCTCATTTCCCTCATTATTTTTGCCCGCGCGACTGGTCGTTGGTGCTTCGCAGGTGAGTCTCATCACAACAATAATAATTAAAAATATTTTTAATTTCATTTAAAACCGAAAAGAGAGAAAAAATCCCTTCCAATTATCCCCCAACAGTTACCCCAGAACGATCCCCCGAGCATTATCCTGCCTCTAAAAAAATACGTTTGGAAAAGTCAGTCGAGCCAATTCCCACAAAAAAAATCAAAACATCCACATGTAAAATCCCCCACAGCAGTAAAAAAATCCAAGCACTCCCTCAAAAAAAATCGCGTTGATTACCAGAAATGAGAAAAAAAATTAACGGTCATCATTATTTTGGTAAGTCATGTGTGAACAAAAAAAAACAAATACTGTCTTGTATGTTGTGCGGCTACAACGAAAATAGGACAGCATGCAAGTCGGGCCAAGTAAAGATTACGGAGACACGACACCATAAACCATGCGTATCCGTACTCTAGGCATGAAACTGTCCAGGGGTAAGTCAGCCTCGACAGACGAAGATGAAAAGATACCCATTGCGTCACTCACATCACAAAGTTCGTCATTCATTCCCTGGAAATTTATATTTTATCACGGAAATCCCTCAGTCATTTTCATGTTCATAAAGAGACTAATGATTTCCTAATTATAATTGAGGGGGATGGGCCCCGGGAAAAAAACTTTTTCTGTTTTTCGAGGACAAAGTTTTGAAAATCAAAATGATTAAATTGGTCTCTCGTCGCTGGAAGTTGGAGATTTGAATTCTTCATAACCGAAAATTCAACGTTAGAAATGCCACACGATTACATTTTTAAAATATTTTAATAACAATTGAATTTGAATTGTCACTGTTGTGAACGTAAATTCAAATCAATATTAAATCGTTCATGAAATTTTTTATTCATCGGAATTTCGATGAATTTTAATGACAGCTTGAATTCTCAAATCCATCGTGAGAAGTAAACATCACATCTAATTCAATTCCTCAATAGATTGAGAATAAGAACAATAATTGCCTGAATTTTTACAATCCACTGCAACTTCACTGAACATTCCAGAAATCAACCGATTTTTCAATAACAACATATTTGCAAAATTCGCGTACATCAGTCGCTGTTAAAAATTTTATGATTTTTCATTTTAAACTCTAGAAATAGTTTTTTTAATGCGATCACCAATTTTTGCTCCTTAATTCTAAATAAAAAATGGGGGAGAAAATGCATTCTTTAATTTACACCTTTTTCGGAAATTTTTATCGATATCTCAAGCAGTTTTCTCTTGTTCAAATGTTATTATATACTTTATTTATGAACGTCAACTTCGTATTTAATGGTTCTCATGCATTTACCGAGGAGGGATTATTAGTAATAATAATTAACAGTAATCCCTCCTCGGTGCTGTAGTTAAGAGGGCCCCTCAGTAATCCAGATATCACTAGAATATAATTCCTCTCTAAAATCCGAATTGGTCCATTTTTGTGTACTATTTCCATTACTTATCCGTCATTTTTACGGAAAATCACTCATTCTAATTGACATTCATACAAAATTTTTAAAATAAAGTTGACCCATTAAATTTTACTTTTCGGTTGCCAAATTTACTTTAAAATGCATCTCCTCTTCCATTTTTGATAATCAAGAAGCGAAATTTGGTAATTATATCCAAAAAACTATTTAAAAATTCATACGTTGGGGATTTTTACCAACTTGAATTTTCAGTTACGAAAAATTAACAGCTCTAATTTTAATTCCTGAAGAAAAATCCTGTATAAAGCACAAAAAATAGTGCTTTCAAAATTTTTTCCTCGAAAAACGAAAAAGTTCTCTTCCCGGGGTGACCCGCCCCTTGATAATATTTTTTTCATGAAAAAAAAAATCAATTGCAAAGAGTTTTGGATAAATATTAAAAGTATTCATTCGAAACTCTGGCGTAATCATCATTTTGAAAAGCATTAATTAATTCGTTGACATTCATAATTTCATTAGTTTCCAGACCCGACAATTTTAATAATTTCCATGTCATTCCCCACCCTGCATGGAGACTAGTATTCCTTCCAGTGCTATCTACACTAAAGAAATAGAACTTTAGATTCAAATTTATCGACCCGCATGGAAACATTGTTGCATGCATCGAGCAGTCCCCGCTTTCCCTAGACTAGACTTTCATTAAAGGAGGAATCGTATGAGGAATAGCCGAAGAATCCACCACGAGCTGTTGTTATTCGTTGTGTTTCAAAATTAATAAATGTGACAAGCAACCCTTAACGATCGGCGAAGGCAAGTGTGGTTGAGTTCTCAGACGATGAAATTCATCGGTATCATGATAAAAATCCACTCATCGCATTCCGTTTGTATAAATTATTCGCGAAAATGCCTTTCACGAAATGCATTTTCATGAATCAGTTGCAGCTCGAGCATGTGAATACTCTTCCATCGCTTACCAGTATCGATGTTCATCACTGTTGGATACACTGTTAGAAAAAAAAATTGAAATTTCATGGATTGTTGTCTAGTCAGTTTCAATAGAGTGACATTAAACTCGATTTGGGGTGGGAAAAATTATGAAATTCCTGATTTTACTGAAAATTCAAGGGAATCCAGAATTTTTGAGGCACAGGAAGACGAAAATTCCCAACCTACTTAAATTTTGAATCAGAACCTGAATATTTAGCACGAAATTGCACCAGGACTTACAATACCCAGATTTTTCCATAAAATCTCCAATTATCAACGGCGAAATTCCTTGAAATTTCAGTGCATGGGAATTGCATCCAAACTTCTCCAACAGTGTATTTTTATAATTGTCGTAAGCTAGAAAAATCGAATATAACCCACAGCCACACGAAAACCACTCAAAATCATCAAAACTACCTGCTCACAATTGTCCTTCAAGTAGAAATGACTGGGGCAGAATGGACACTTCGCAATTTCTCAAAAAGTCAAAAATTCATTGAAGTTCCCACCAAATTTCCCGCTTCCCTCTCCCTCTGTGCTAAATTTCCAGCCTTACAAACATAAAAAAAACATCAAACGTATCCATTTTGCCCCACGCTCCCCCATATTAACATTTCGCATGAAACCTCCGACTGCATCACGCTCACAACGACTTCCACACCAGCAAAATCACGAAAAAGTAGAGAAAAACTAGAAAAAAAATGGATAAAACCACAAATTCACGCAATTATCACTTGACACACGCATTTGCCTTGACCGATGGTGGCGTTGCTTGTTGCAGCGAGACGTCGCGGTGACGAGGAGGCTGCAGGTGGAGCGGGTGCAGGAAGTGAAGCCCACATAACACCAGGTGACGACGATGATGAGCACGAGGATCCGCACATTATCGATGAGAAAATACCCCACGGCCAGGAGAATCCCATCCACGCGAGCACCGAATACGTCAACGGACGCAACGACATTAAGGATGTACAGAGGAAGGACGAGAAGACAGACACACCAGTGTAAATGATTAAAACTATAAATTTGAAAGAGTTCCCAGCCCCTCACTGTCATCGCACTCGCCACTGAGCAATTTTTATTAGCAACGGAGTGCGCTGAAGATCATTCTCACTTTTTTTTTCCAATTGAGACGACTCCGGAGACTAGAGAATTATGATAGGTTTAATGATGCCATCGTGCACTGGCTGATTCGGTGATGAAGGATCAGGGGTGCAGGGTGGCCAGTAGGATAATGGAAGAATGTACACTGGGAGGATGGTAATCGAGCAGTAGATAGATACTCGGTATGGTCAGACATGTTAATCAGGAGTTACTGCAGTTTAAAGAGTAATCAAATACTTTTTTTATTCAATTGTGAGGCTAATGTGGCAGCTGTTCTTACTTGCAGGTGTGAAAAAGTTTAGTTGATAAAGGGAGTGGAGTTTTATTGAAAAATTCCATTTGTTTTTCAGGGAATCCAGGGGTGAAGTGGTAAAACGGTTTAAGATGTTCACTATTGGGCAGTTTTCAATGGATATCTCTGGATCTAAGGCAGATAGGAAAATTTTTGTCATTACATTTTTTGTAGAGCGGATTGAGGTCTACAAAAAAGGTTATTACAAAAATTTCTCTATCTCCCGTATTTTCGGAGATATTCCTCGAAAACAAAGCTGAGAGCCACGTCGACTTGAATCGTTTTACCGTCTCGCTATTGAATTATCTTGATTATTATACAACTTTAACGTGGTATTTTGTTGAGAGATATTTGATGGTTTTTATATAGTATTTCAATTTTTTTATCGTTATAAAATTCAAGAAGAAAAATTTGGAAAATTTATAAACAAAAATTCTTAGAGGGAAAATGAAAAAAACGTGAGTTTTATAGAAAAATAAATATTTACACTTTTTTATGAGCACATATCTGTCTAAAAACACATGGGAGAGTTGCATAATTTTTTATTGAATTGACATTTAAAAAAATAGAATTTTTTAATAGAATTGATGTAGACATCCAATAGGGATTGGAGTTCTATCAGAATTCTATTGAAAACTTCAATTTTTTTCGTCAATTCTATCGAAGATTATTCAACTTTACCATGACATTTTTTTCCATAATAAAATCCAAGAAAAAAACTTGGAAAATTCATCCCCAAGAATTCTTTTCTAAAAAATCTCAACAAAATGAGTTGTTTAAAAACCAACATCTCCACACGTTTTCCTCTGAACAAATATCTATTTAAAATCTCGCGAGAGAGTTGCCTAATCTTTAATAAAATTATTGCAAAAAGCACATACAATTTTTCAATAGAATTTTTACAGACATTAACAGAAATTGACTACATTTTCTCGAAGAAAACACGACGTTTTTTCAATTAAATTTTTTCACGCATGTACACGTGTTGGATTTATCTGAGCCATCGCTATTAACTATTAGTTTCCTACTGAATTTCCCTTGCCAATGGCATCTCCGAGCCTCCGTGTGATCTAGTGTTACATGTCACTGAGAATTTCGATGTTTTCAAGTACGAAATTCTCGAACATTCCTTCCATTCGTTCTATCCAGCACTTCGTCTTATGTTCACTTTTGCCTTTAGTTTTTTGTTCACTGTAGGTTTTAAGGGTTTCTGGGCACCAGATTTCGATGAAATTTAATTGAATCTCTTTAGTTCGCACTATGCCTTAACTAAATTACTCCATCTCCCGACGAATGTCGCGATTTATTTTTATTTCTTAGGAGTATATACCATTTATTCTTTAACGTGTGTTTAAATAGTTTAATATTTATTTTTCGTGATGAAAAAAGTAATGGTTTCGTAGTATCATTTGTAATACGTTTTCTACCGAATTTTTGATAGCTGAATCACTTATGACTGGTAAAAATATCAGGCCTTTTCCTTTTAAATCATTGAACAAATTTTGTATGTCTTTGTAATGTACTTGAGGATACTTGTCGACGAAAATACAATACATTCCACAACGTAACGAAGTAGAGTTGAATTTTTCATTTTTAATACACTTACGCTCCCCCTCAGTGGTTAACTCCTGAATTTTATTGTGATTGCTCTGTTATATTCGTTATAACACATGCACGCAATCCCAACAAATACGGAAGTCATAATTAGCATAACACGTTCATTCTTCTAATGAACATAAATGATGATGAATTACCGTTATCAATGGAGTAATAAGACTCAATTGTAATAAATTAATCAGTGAATTTTTTACACACGCCAATTTTTCGATGACAATTCATTACGAATTTATCATATTAAGAAATTTCCACTTTATTACTTCGACAATAATCATCATTTGTACTTTTGTAAACGTATTTTTAATTGTCATCAACTCGAAGTCGATTAATGGAGGCTAAAATGGTCGTTCCTCACCAGCAATATTTTTCCAAAATGAATTTATTTAATTAATAGGTGATTCATAAAACTCGGAAATTTAATGGAGGGAATATACACGTTAGATCTCGGACATGAGCTCCTTCTTTTACCTATTCGTCACCCCTTAATTAAAGAAAGATTGCTTAACTCGTCCTGTCAAATTCCCCATTAACTGCGTGTTGTATATATTAAATATATATAAATAAATATATTATAAATACTGTGGTACGATGGATAAAAACGAAAAAAAAAATGATTAAAAAAATTGAATAAAAATAGTGAATGAAGTATGATAATTATAAATGTGTCGAAGGCACTTGGCTTGCAATCTATTACTGGCATTCATACCTTGCATTCCAATTGCCCAAGGACCTGTCGTTATTCCATATTTAAACAGAGAAAAAATATTGATTGAACGAAAATACAACAGAGTACAGATGTGAAAATTACGACGATTATTTAAACTGTTGAATTGAATTGAATAATTGTCAACACCTTGAGAGTTTTAAATGTTTCATATATTATAAAAGTAAATGAATAAATCGTCGATGATTTACCATTGTGAAGATATTAGAGGGGAAATGTCATTTGGCAATTTTAAAATAAACGTTGTTTGCAAATTAAGGTTTTGGTACAAATCAGGGCGATGAGAAACGATGATTAAAATAACTTGAAGAAAATTAACGGGTTACGAGGATTTGCGAACAGTCACGTTGGTAAAAATGTTTATGTCCATAATTGTAGAATCACTAAACAATTTTTCAATGTTCCAATATCCGAATTGATGTTAAACTTCTTAACGAAAAAAAAAAAAATTGAGGGGACGAGCTGCATTTTTAAATGAATGAAAGAGAATAGAAACATAATTCATGATAGATAGATCTCTTGATCATAGTACAGGTCCAATGAAACGAAGAATTAAAATTTTAATTGTAACTGAAACAACAGTTGAGAATCACTGCCAAAGGCACCCAAGTGCAGACAGAAGTTTATGATATTCCAAATTTTCACCCCAAAATGTCTTCATTCAGATCTTGCACTTGTGCCGTACAAAATTCTACAATTTTCGAAAATCAATTGAAAAAGTGAAATAACAAGTGAGAAAACCAAAGTGAAAAAATTCACCCCGGGAAAATAACTTTTTCGTTTTGCGAGAAAAAAGGCTTTGTCAGTCTAAATTGTCTCCGGCCACTCGAAATTAGAGAGTTGAATTTTTTTTAGTCGAAAAGTCTACTCAAAAATCCCAAAAGTATTTTTTAAAATTATTTTTTGAATATGATTACAAATTTGCGCTCCTTACTTATAAAAAATGCGGGGGAATCTCGAGAAAAAAATTATATAGAATTATATTACTATTCTATACCATTCTATGTGATGGTGAAATATAGAAAATTTCGGAGAATATAATTTGTGATTATATTCAAAAAACTATTTTAAAAAATACGTTGGGGATTTTTTTAAAGTTGATTTTTGGCTGTCGGAGACGAATTTGACCTCAAAAATCGGATTCCCAAGGAAAAATCACAGATAATAATATTTCAAATTTTTTTTCCTCGAAAAACGAAAAAGATTTTCTCCCACGATGAACTTCCCTAATTTATTCAAAACAATAATAAAAACATTCGAACTCTCACCGAATTTTTGAAATGCAAACATTTTGGGAGTGATAATCACCTAAAATTCGTTGTCACTGTAAAACATTCAGACTTACTCAGCTTGTTGGAGTGGATATTAAATATAAATATAACTAATAAATAAGATCAAAGTAATCCTAAATTGAATTAAAAGAAATATTTCGAAACATGTTTAATGTACAAAGATTCAATCATGGTACATTATCGATATTAATACCACTTATGATTTACTGTATTTTTTCATTAATTGATATTCATTATTTACGTACATTAGTGATTAGTTTTAGCCAACCATAATGGTATTTTTTACTTAAAGTTTCTCGATGGTCATGCTTACATAACACCTGTTTATTTACCCAAATTGTGTAAGTGACTCGAATAATCCTTCAGTTAATCGTTTTACGTATGGGGAGTGACTCGCTTTAACTAACGAAAAACATAAATAAATAAATACACGTTTTATGAAAAAAGATGATGGTAGGAAACTCGTACTCGATGGATTATCAATAATACGATTAAAAAAACAAAATGAAAGATTAAGAAGGAAGGAAGCATGATCGTTGGCCATACAATGGAGTATATGATATATATTTATGTTAAAGTAAGTCTAGAAATACTGAAATTTAATTATTCATTGGTAACAGGGAAAAATTTACTGGTTCATTACTTGAAAGTTGCTGTTAATTCGTAATTCTCCGACGTATTTTTTCATGATTATTCACAGATAAAATATTGAGATTAAAATGTACTCGAGAAACTCGACGTTTTGTTTTCATTTTCATGTGTAAACACAATATTGATTGATTCCTGTCTGAAATTTTGCAACGTTCGGTGGTACTTGTCTGATAATTGCCCTGAAATGTGTATCAGAGGCTCTGACTTTAATTTTTGCAAAACAAATTTTTTTAATTAACAGATATGAATGAAAGACAGATGATACCGAATCCCAATAACTTCAGAATTAATCATGAAGAGAGAACAAAGTTAAAACATTAACGAGTAATTAAAACAAATCGAAAAAAAAAACTAAAAATCCACATTTTGTATCTGTACGTGTAGATACAATTGCAATAGGCAGAAATTTAAAAATGAATTAAAATCAATAATTGTAAGGTTTAAAGTGAAATATTAATATATAATGAATTTTAAACAAAATGATGAAAACAAAACAAATGTATTAAATATAAGTTCACTCATCGCTACGATATTACATTGTAAACTTATTATAGGTATATGATTTTTGAAATAAAAACATTTGTTTTCAATACAATGAATATATTTACTCATTCATTATCATTCACACGACTGACATTCCAAACGATTAGAATGCACTGAAGTCATAAGAACACTCAACAACACCCAAATAACCCAGCCCCAGCCAGAATATTCCACTGAATAATTTTTTTAATGAGAAAATAAAAAAATGAGAGATCCTCAATGTTACTCTGATTTCCATTATTTTACAGGTGGCTCAAGCACGAGGAATATAG